CCACAGTTCAGAAAAATTTGTGGATAGATAGAGCACCAATACAGTTAAATGTTAACAGCTGGCAAATCTGACTGAAGGGTATATGCTGATTCTTCGTGCTGTTCTTGGAACTTTAAAGTCTGAGATTATGAAAAGCTAAATATATGAGTTACCAGATACCATTAAGAGCACCTAGAAAGTAGGGTTGGCACCTCTAGAATTAGATCTGGGAATAGAGCAGCTACCAGGGTCCTGAGCACAGCTTTATTTGAGAGGCTGGGCATCCCTGCTGAGGATCAGAAGGTAGGAAAGGAAGGGAAGGTGGCCCTGGGACCTCCTCCCTCAGAGAGAAAACAAAAAGGAAGTCATAAGTCATTCTCTCTCCCGACATTCCCAGTAACCCCCAAGACTCCAGTCTGATTACATAAGACAATTTTTACACATAGTTTACTATTTTTTCATCTAATTTCCATGTTGAACAATCTTGTGCCCCAAGTGACAAATGAACTTTGCTGTAAATCTGATAAGATTACAATCTCAAATATGTTACTGCTGTCATTACCATTATTATTTGGTTCAGTTTTAGTAATTTCTTTTTCAGGTAGCTGGCTCATTCCTTTACAATGTGAAAGAATGAAGAAAGACTCAGCCAGGATTTAGCACTCTTTGCTTTTGGCACACGGTGCCGTTTCTGTGGTATTTCAGGCTGAAATAACCTGAACTTCATAGAAGGCTTTGTTGTCAAAGGGTATCAGCTCAAGCCTGGATGTCAGTCAGACAGAGAGAACGGGGCTCAGATCTGGTGTGCGCTGCTTCAGCAAGGTGAATTTGGGCAATTCTGTGCCCTTTTGCCCTGTTTTCTTATTTAACAAATGTAGAAAATGAGACTTGGTTGTTGTGAGGATTGATTCTCAAGGCTTTACCATAAAACAATCTGCCCAGTTTCTGGTTGGTATCTATGGCAGAAAGCCTCAGAAATTGACCTTTTGGCGGCAAACTCCAGACAAACCAACACTCTTGCTTCCCTTGGTAAAACACCACCTCATCCCTCCAGCAAAGCGAACCTTGCTCTCTGCAAGACTTAGCTACTTTTCCAGTGGTCTGGAGGTCATTGTGTGCCTGCTGTTACATAGGCAATTTAATTAAATAGAAACGTGCAACAGGTGCTTTTACGTAACCTAAGTTGCATATTGGGAAAAAAATCGCAGGTAAAATGGTGAAAGCAGAGTTCTGCTGGCTGAGAGGTGGAAGAGCATATAGAAGATAAGAAATTGTGTGCTCGAGGGCTTGGCCAGCCCTTCCCCAGCTTCCCTCCCCAAGAGCTGTAATTGGAATCAGAGATGAGGTATCATGGGTGTGTTTAGGTAAAAAAGATGACACAGAATGCCACAAAGGGGACTCATACTCAGAGGAAATGCCCTGATTACACAAGAGGTTGGTAGTGAATGAATATTTAGGTTCAAGTTCATGTTAAATGTTTAAGGCACATTTACATCACTTTTATGATTTCCCCAACTTGAAACACTTTTCAATTCACAGGTCCCAAAGGCATCAGGTGAGAGCACTTTGAATGTACTTTATGAGGTACACCCCATATTCTCCCAGGATGTTTGGTTGGGGCTCTTTCCCAGTAGTTCCAACACTTAGGTGCTCATTGGGACTACCTGGGGAGCTTACGGTCACTGATGATTGGGTGCCCTTCACTCTATCCCCAGACTGTGACTGAATTATCTGGGTAGGGCCTGGGAAGGTGATTCTCCCGTGCCACCAGGGTTGAGCACCACTGCTCCACAGTATTTGCTGCTTGGGCCTCTAGTCTGTGGCCATGCTTGCAAGAGTCAGATGGAAAGTCCATTCTGCCCTTCCCACAAAGACAACCTCATGCACACAATCTCTAGGAGTCCCTGAGTTGCACAGAGGAATCTGAACCCCTGGGGGGCATCCCCCAGAAAAGTGGAAGGGGAACCAGGGGCAATCCACACTGTGGCAGAGGGATGGGCTGCGGATCAGATGGTGAGGAGGGCTGCCTGGACAGTGAGTGCAGAGAATGACCAGTCTCAGCTGTAAATGCCACAATCAGGTACTTGACAATGAAGGTCTGTGCTGAAGGAAAATTTTCTTGAGGTCAGGCATTTCATTTTTCTCCCAGTGGATGATAGGATGTTCTTAGGTGCAGTCCATTCTCTCTATTTGCAGTAGTTACAGTCTGTGGAGTTGCCATAAACAATGAATTAGTTAACACTGTGAACCATTTGTTCCTAGGAGGAATACAGCATTAGCTTGCTGGAAGCCTCTGGCTACCACATTTTCATCAAGTGATCAATACACGTGGGTTTCTGTTTAAAGAAACTTTAATATATATCAGTCGATACATTAACATTGAACTCACAGCCAGTAGCACCAGAACTCACGCCTGAAGGGAGCTTCTCTAGCACGTGTATTTCCTTTATAATGTACATCACAGCCTTCTTGTGCTTTGTAACACTAGATAGCACTATGCTGTTAGGCTCGGGAGCTATTTAAAATGGCCATTTTAATAGCAAAAAGCAAAAAATGAAAAGAAAAAAAAAAGCACTAAACAGATGCTCCCAGAGGACATTTGTTTATAGCACAAGAGCTAAAACAAGAAGGCAGAGCATTGCCGTATTTGACCACAGCTGGTTGGGGATGGGAGTGTGTGGACTCAAATTTTCCTTGCTGTGCTCAAGTCCACAAATGGCTTAAGTGCTGAAAGTATTGATTTTGGGGTTACAAACAAATTTTAACAAGCAGGTGAATTTGCTAATCTGGGATCTGAATAAACAAGGATTAACTCTATGTAGCTGATGCCATTTCCATGCCTGTCTCCTCACTCATGTGGCTTACCCTCTTCAACAGCATTTACCCTGTCAAATTTAACCCCCAAAACTCTTGTGATTTGTAACCTGCCTCTGATTACTCCATTCTGTGTTTAATTCTCAATAGAGAATACTGTTGAGACAACTCAGTCCGTCAATCAGTGAACTAATCAAGCAATACTAATGAAGTATTTTACAGCACGTAACAGAACTTTTGAGAGGTACAGTGGGACAGAAATACGCAAGAAGCAATGTCTTCCAAAGAGCGGTTTACTGCTTACCAGCAGTTGGGGGTAGAAAGTTATAATTTTGCCTTGTGAATAAGGCAAATATGCTAAAAGTATGTATGTCCTGTTTAAAATGAATGATGCCAACTGTAAGTAGTCTAGACGTCTAGAAAAGGATACCAATGATAGCTTTAAGGACAACTTTTCTGAGACATGGAAATTTCACAGGACTTTAAGGTGGAAAGATAAATACAGAGTGTGGGTGGGGGAAGTATTCAAGGTATATGAATACAGCCTGAGAAATGGGAATGAGCATAGTTGGTTTTTTTTCCAAATAGGAATAGAGATATGAGCATCCTTAGCTAGGATGCTCGTGCGAGAAGTTAGAAGTGGTGGAGCTGAGGGCAAGCCCATCTCTGTCTGATGATGCTTTGTTCCTCCCTTCAAGACATTTTACCAAAAAAAATACTGAAAGAACATTCAGATGGACTAACACCAAACATTTTGTGTCCCACTCTTGTTTATGACATGCCATTAGCCAGGATCTCAAGGTCATTGGTAATTGTAGATATTTAGGACCAATATATTTGAGAGATCATCCTGAAGTCCAGGAAATAGGTCCTCCCGTAGTGAATTACTCCACAGGATCTAGACAGATTTCACCCATACCTGCAACGTCTTCCAACAGGTGGCCCATCCCTCCTCTTCAGCAGCAAACTACAAACCATCCTACTTGTTTTCATTTAGGCAGTAGTCTGTAACACCTTCCTACTGTTACCAGTAACAAAATGACTGCAATTTAGGCTTATGTTACAAGGTGGCTGAATTGACCAAGAGGATGGTGGCTGCAGCTACAGGTGGGGCCAGCCTCTGAGGAACATTGTTAATGAAAGGTGATTGATTGGTCTGGAGTGCTTGCAGGGTGTCTGGCACCGGATAGGCTGTATGTAAGTGTCTGCTACTATTAACACAAACACCAGATTTCCTACAGGTCGCTCTTTATTTCCTTGTGAACTCTACAGTGCAGTGAAGTGCTGGGATAAGAGTGAGCCGAGGCATGCTCAGAACAAGTGGTCACCCACAATGCCTGAGACTAATCTTTTATCTTGTAAGTGGATTTGTAAGTGGCATTCACTGAATTAGAACCTGAGCTTAAAGATGCAGTCACTCTTTCAACAAACGGGTTAGGCACTTGCTCTGTACCAAGAGCGTTGCAGAGATGGCAGGAATGAAAAATTTAACATTGCGCCGGTTAGTGTGTGCTGGGCACCGTGTGAACCCCTTACAGAGGCACTTCCTCCTCTCGGTAACCCCGCGAGTTAAGCACCCCGATTTCCATTTTCCCGGGAGGTACTCAAAAATATAGGAACTGAGTAGTGTAACATCAGGCCATTTAACTCCACAGCCGCGGGTCCCCGCAATACCCTGAACATCTCTGTGCACTCCCTTGGGGACTTACTCTGTGCTGATTATTTAGAACTCAGACCCTGAGCATCACCCCGGCACATTTTATTTAGAGGATGTGTGCCCCAAATGTTGGGGATCAGAGCGCGCTCCCTCTGCTGCCGCGGACACCCCACTTCCTAACACCTTAGGAGTAGGTTACCAGGGAAGGAAAGGAGACGCGGGACGTCTCGTCGAAGTGCTGCGACGCCAAGGCTCCAGAGGGTCTTCCTGGAGGTGCTTCTGTCCTTCTCTCCTGGGGAATCGGGCCCGAGGCGACTCGCCGCTCTCAGGCTGCACACTGGGAAGCAGGGTTTGTGCCCTCACAGCCCTGCGCGACGGCCACACCAAAGCCCCAAACCTTGGGCAGGGGCCAAACGGTCACTTCCCCGCCCTCCGGGCGCAGTATGCAAATCTGAGCACCAGGAAGTAGCTGGAACCTCTCGGCCGAGCCCAGCGACAACCAGTTCCTCTCCCGCCGCTCTGGGCCGCCCGCCGCTCGCTCCCCGGCGGTGGCGCCTCCGGGCCCGACGCGCTGCAGCCTCCAGTCCGCGGCAGGCGGGGCGGCCGCGCCTCTCGGACCCCGGGCCCCAGCCCGCAGCTCCGCGCGCGGTGCCCAGCCCGTAGCCTTCCCTGCGCGGGCCCGCTGGGCCGCCCCGTCGCGCTCCGCTCTGAAGCAAGTCACCGTGGAGCGCCGCCGTCGCTGCCCCGCCACTTTCACCCGGAGCTGGTGAGTCCCAGGCGCTAGCCTGGGGGTGGGCCGAGGGCCGCGGCGGTGCCAGTGGCCAGCGCCGGCCCGGGCCGACCCAGGGCCGGGAGGTGGGGAGAAGGGTCGGCGCCGGCCGCGGATGTAGGGGACGCGCGCCGCTCGGTGGCCGCACCGGCTCCCAGCCCGGGCGGCGAGGGCAGCCGGTTGCCTTGTGCCTGTGGGCAACTGAGCCCGGGGGAGCGAGGACGCGGGGGCGGCAGCTCCGCAAGTGTCCCCTCCACCAAGCTCGCAGGGGCGTGGTGGCTGTGCAGGCGGGCGGCGGGCGCCCGACGGGTCATTCTGGCGCGGCCCCGAGGCCGGATGCAGTCTCGGTTAGGGCCGCTCCTGGCGAGGCGGGGAAGTCCCTGTCCACGCGGAGCGCGCGCGGCGGGCATCCTGGCGGGGACTCCTGGGCTTGCACGCTCTGGTCTACAGGCTGGGTGCTGGGCCCCAAGGTGCGGGCCCAGCCCGGCTTACCAGGCCTGCGGGCAGCTGCCACGTCGGGAGCCCGAGGCAGAGTGCGGCGTCGAGGGGCTGCTGCTGCGGCTGGCGCGCACTAACCGCGGAGTCCGGCGCCTCCGCGCGTGCAGAAGAGCCAGTCCCTTGCCCCCGGCGGCTGGGAGGAAGCAAGAGTTATCTTAAGAATTCAGGGCTTGCATTTCCTTCGCCCTGGGGGAAGGGTGTAAGCGTTAGTTCCCACTCCCCAGCGTTATCTCTGCATCTCTGTGGGTGGTGGCGTCCTCTCAACGTCGCTCATTTCTAATAGCCGGCCTGTCTGGTGGTAGGTCTCTCTCTCTCTCTCTCTCTCTCTCTCTCTCTCTCTCTCTCTCTCTCTAATAGCCGGCCTGTCTGGTGGTAGGTCTCTCTCTCTCTCTCTCTCTCTCTCTCCCTCCACTGAATTACCCCAAATCCACCCATCTTCTATGCCATCTTAGAAACTCCTCTCTAGTTCTTTCTGTGTCTTAATTACCCCAGGCCCACCCCCTTCTCTGAAAACGGACTTGAATCCAGCTTTGCAGTTGCCTAGCTGGGTGTGACTCTCTAGTTCTTTCTGTGTCTTAATTACCCCAGGCCCACCCCCTTCTCTGAAAACGGACTTGAATCCAGCTTTGCAGTTGCCTAGCTGGGTGTGAACTTGAGCCTATTATTGAAATTCCTCGTTCGAGTTGCCTACATATTTACCTTCTGAGCTATGACTTGCACCGTGAAGCCCCAAGCACGTACTTAGGCATTCCTTAAAGGGCACTGTTATTATTGATTGCAAATTCTTCCCCTGAAAACGAGGCTCTCTGGTTCTCTGCAATTTCTTGATTTTAGAACCTAAGGTTACTAACTAACTAACTAATGAATAAATAAATGAGTGAATGAATGAAAAAAAAAATAGAACCTAAGGCTACATGTCCAATTTAGCCACCTGACTTAATAATAAATCTGCATAATAAATACACGGGAGATTTGCTGTTCCAAAACAGGGCTCAGGAATCTGACTCACCGTAAGAATTAGCCAATAAGGACGTTTGACTTACTTTTGACTTGTTGACTGCACCCTCATCAGTAGGGTTCAGGAGCACAGGGGTGTTCTCTCTGTACAGGCAAAACCTAAAAAAGCAGTGTGGGGATAGGATGGGGGTGGGGTGGGGGAAGGGACTGAAAGAGTACAGACATTTACTAAGGATTCTGAATTGCTGAGTGAGGTAAGCTCTGCTGGCAAAGGATGAGGTGCCCTGAGTCCCTGGCACTCATTTGGAGGTAGGAAGGGAAATGTCTTGAGGCTTGGGGAAATGTAATTTGATCACCAGAGGCTTTTGGTGACTGGGGTGACCCCTCTTCCTGAGTGAAGGGCGGAGGGCAGCCGCTTAAGGGAAGAGAAAACAAGAACTAGGAAACCTGAGTTTAGGTCTCTTCCCCATTGACCAAAGCTGTGATTTGGGGTAAATTACCTGAGCCATTTGTTCAGCCACCATTTCCTTCATAGCAGTAACCAGAGTTGTATTACTATTTGTCTGCAAAGCTCTATGAAATCAACTTTGTCTGTCTTGTCCAAAACCCCAGACTCAGTGCCTGACACGGAGGCAAGATGACCTGGCAGAGAGAATGAAGGTGTGCTCTGAGCCTGGCTCTGTGCAAGGCCAAGAAGCAGGGCAGGTTCCTGAGGCTCTCAAGCCCACCTGCTGTCTCTGTCCTGGTGCCCCAACTGGATTTACAGGACTTTTTAACTGTCAAGTGATCCCAGCACTGGTGTACTAAGCAGGAGTCTCTACTCAGGCCCTGTTACTCCGCTGTGTCACTGGGAAAAAGGGCTCTATTCAGAGTGTAAGATGTAGCCGGCAGAAGTAGTTGGCCTAGTCAAAAGACCCACTTTATAGTAGAGTCATTGGTGTTGCAAAGGTAGGTGGAGAATTTGTAATATCCCTCCAATCCCAAGAGCATTCTCTTAGCAGAGAAGTGGTCCAACAGTCTTGAGAATCAGCGACTTTCGAGGCCTTTTAGTTTCATTGTTTATTTTTGTATTAAAAAATGAATCACCAAAACGTCTGAAATGTTAGTTGGCTCAGGTGAATATCTGGAGTCATAATTTAACAAAACTGAACCATATTATCTCTAAACAAACCATACTAATTTTAAATCTGTATAAATAAGAATATATTGGGACATGTCCACAGCATGGAATGTCGTCACAGCTCACTCACACTGCTGATCTCAATGACCTCCATGTCCTCAGACAGTTTTAACATTTGCAAGGCCACCGCAATCCTTGGCTGGGGCATTGATCACTGACATACTGGGCCCAGATGTCCTCAGACCTCTTTGGGCTCTTCCTAGTGCTGCTTGTGCTAACACCTTTCACTTGTCCTGGGCTCTGAAGCCTGCCTGAACTCTGATTTCATTTGAATATCTCATGGTCCCCTAGGGTTTGTAGGCAGGGACATAGAAAAATAGGTTTAGTGGCGCACCTAAGGTCACAGGCCTGGTTAAGTGGCATTGTTGGGTGGATTAAGTGTGTTTTTCGGCTTCAGCATTAGAGCTTTTCCTACTTTTCTGCCTTTGGACCTGTAGCAGGTACTTAATTACTAATAAACACTTTAAAAGCAGAACCACAAGTTAATTTTCTTCTATCACTTGGTAATTGAACTAGGTGGCTAACTGTTCAGGACAGATGAGCAGATGGACCCTCAGGCAACTAGGGAGATGAATTTCTGTGCCTTTCAGCTCTGCTTCCTGCTTGGGGAGGGGGGAGCTCTGATAACTGCCAACGTCACACTTACACTGGCTGCTGTCAGAGCCGCTCTCATGCCTGCCTTGGGAGCTCTCAGGTGTTTACTGATTAACACACAAGTGCCCAAGTAATATTTTGCAAAGGGGTTCTCTCCAGTTTCTGCTACAGGTGCCTCTCATGAACCTATGGTCCTCCTTGTGTGGTTGTTGTAACAGTGAGAGCATCATTTGAGGGACCAGTAAGGAGGCAGAGCCCATACGATGCACATTCAAACATGCACCCCATTCACTGAGCACCTGCTATGGGCAAGGTGCCATTCTAAGCCCACACTCCTACAGAAGACATACACCACCTCCCATCTTTAAGATTGGTAATGAAGAGAAAGACACAGAAGAGGAAGTATGGTAGGGTTTTTTTTGTTTTTGTTTTGTTTTTTGTCAGAAATACTGAAAGACCTTACAGCTGCTTAGTTTCCTGATACTTACATTGTGAAATGTTGAGTTCACTCTATCATCATGTCTAAAATTTATTTTTAGTAAGTTCCCATTTAGAGGAGAAGCCCAAGTATAAAAAAATAGTATGGAAATCTGCCAATTGAGGAATTAAGAGTTTTTGGAACAGTAATTAGAATCTTTGGCTTACACTAGCTGGAAGGACTCTCTTGTAAATTAGAATAGTAAGTTTAAATAGTTACTTGGGTTGATGTGTTAAAAAGTTTCATCCATGCTGACAAGTTGTAGGGGCCTATAACATAGGCTTGTTCTTCATTTTGGGGCCTTTTCTTTAGTCTTATTCTGTACTTCACTTTCTCTTAGTCCTGAATAAGCTGTCAGCATTAGTTATTTGCCACAGAGCTGTTTCTTGAAAGTTCTATTTACCCTCAAGATATAGTCTGCATTTTTATAGAACTCGTCCAAAGTGTTGGTTATTTACTGTGCTTTATTAACCCTCTGCATATTTCCAGTCTTTCTTGTCTATCTCCCTGCCCCAACTCTCTCCTGCCTCTTACAAGGCTTTCAAACCCTTAATTGATGTGATTAAGGGCTGCCCGCTGTTCATGGGAAAAGATTTTGGGCTAGCCTCATTATTGTAACTGTGTTCATTTTTCATAATACTAAGATGTATAAATGGTGTCCCACAAAGGCACACAAATGAGATGTATAATGCAGAAAACATTTGAGTGGTGTTTGTTCACGCTCTAGGCTCAGCTCTTATTGCGCTGTAGAACGCCAGCGAGGGGGCGCCACTCATGGAGTCCAGGGTCTTTATTCCCATATCCTTTATGTAGTTCACGCGTCAGGGGAAGTTGAATAGTGCTGGACCTCCCTGGCACCCTGCCCTTCCACAGAAAATCACTCTCACTACTCCTGCCTCCACATCATGCTGAGTCTTTCCAGTCTCCTCCCTGACTCCTGGTACATCTGGTGGGGAGTGGTAGTGACTTCTCTGGGCCCAATCGTCGGTGCTGGTGAGAGTACCCAGTGAGATTGGAGAGGTAGGTCTGGATTCCTTCTGCCTGTGGCTAAAGCAAGATGTCCTTTTGCTGTTTGGTTTTCTGGCTGCCTCCACTCTTCCAGTAAATGTCAACCCCATGGGGCTGAGGCAGATAGAGAAACTTGTTTCAGAGAGATGGTCTGGAGAGGGAGGACCACTTCTGCTTTCCACGGGGAAGCTGCGTCACGGACAGCCAAACTGCAGCAGAGGCTTGAGAGAGGAGGCCCGCGCAGAGGCTGGCGGGAAGCAATACTTCCCCCAAGGCCTCAGGCCCAGTCATTTGCCTGCAGCCCCGCCTTCTTTCCACCCAGCACTGCTTTTGCCTCAAGGTTCTTTCTACCACCTTCTTCTCTGTTCATTTTCATTTTGCCTTGAGAGAGTTTGGAGGGTTGGCAGGGAAGGAGAGGGAGAAAAGAATGAACCTCATCATCCTTGTAAGACCCTTCTCTGGTGAAGCCCATGCTGGCTGTGCTTGATTTTTCAGCGACTTTTTTCAGACAGATGGACATTTTGAAATTCCCCATAATGGAAACTATTACTAAACTCCAAGTAGAAGTTTTGAAATCTTTTAATTTCAGGCAGTATGATAATTTCTTAATCCTAGCTACAATGGTTCAGTTCTGTTTTTTAAAATTACTTCAGCTAACGGCCTTCTGTTAAATTTTGGGGGATAGAGCAGTAACTGTTTCAAACTTCTTTGACCAAAACTTGTATCAGGAGACATCTTTTATCTTGTGCCCAAATGCACATCTACCTGTATGAAAAAAAAAAAAATAAAGGGAACAAAATCTGGTGAAAGACTGCCTCTTCTTAACTTGTTGGGGCGTGTCCTTTTGAGGCCAGCTTGGGGAGACCTTTCAGAGTTTAAAATGCACAGAGGTGGGCCTGGCCATTCCACAGGCAACAATCCCTAGGTAGGTTTATTAAGCAAATACAAATAAAGATACATCCATACAGTGGAATACCTTGTAGATGTCTTTAAAAATAGTATTAAAATACATTTACACTTCCTAAGATGATATAGGAGATTAATAAGTAATATAATGAATTATACAATGAAGTATATAATTTTTTTTATACACCTTTACTTTTTAAAAAAGAGCACCGCTTACACATTTTAAAACAGAGGTCTAGTGAGCAATGACATGAAGCCAGCATGACTGCGGAGGGAAGGTAGAAACAGTCGGGAATCTTTGGGACAAAAGAGGCCATTATGATACTTCCGTGGATATATTATAAACAGACCTGCCCCTGAAGGAACTAATGTGCTATGAATGTTGTAAACAAAGATAATGTTTTCTTAAAGAAGTGTCGATTTCTTATGTTTAGTTATATTTAGTCTTAAATTTAGCAAACATTTATTTTCTATTGTCGTTGATATACAATATTATAGGTGTGCAACATGCTGATTCAACAAGTTTATACATTACAAAATGTGCAGCTCAATAAATGTAGTTACCATCTGTCAGCAGACAGTCATTACGATATTACTGATTATATTTCCTATGCTGTATTTTCATCCTGATGACTTATTATATAATAAGAAGTTTGTACCTCTTTGTTCTCTTCACTTATTTTGCCCATCCCCCCACCTCCCTCCCTGTCAGATCCAAAATATATAAAATATATAAAGAATTCATACTGTTCAACATCAAAAAAACAAAAAAAATTTTTTAAATGGACAGAGGACCTGAATAGACATTTTCTTCCAAAGAAGACATACAGATGGTCAACAGGCACATGAAAAGTTGCTCCACATCACTAATCATCAGGGAAATGCAAATCCAAACCACAATGAGATCTCACGTCCCACCAGTCAGAATGGCTAATATCACAAAGCAAACATTCCTTGAGTACCTTCTGTGGGTCAGGCACAGTGTCAGAAGGTGGGGG